CAGTTTATTTGGATGAGATATCCTACCCATGGTGTAGTCTTAAATTTCATTTCTAGCTGCTCTTGGATTTGCTTTTCTCTTTCCTTGCCATAATTACCCTTTACTTGGTCTTATTGCATCAACCTCCAAAAAAATTGAAAATAATTGGGGTCCATCCTTTTCTAGCTCTTCACCTTGAAACAAATTCCAAAGCTTCACCATTACGCATTACGTTAAGCATGGCTATAGCACAGCTTCTTTCAGGTTAAAATCTTCTTTCCCTAGTTTACCAAGGGTTTTTACCAGAAAGCATGCTGAATTTTGTCAACGCTCTTTCACCATCTATTAAGATACGCTTTTTCCCATTTAATATAAAGAACTTCATGTTTACTAACATTGTAGCACTCTTGCATTCCTGAAATAAACCCCGACTTGGTCATCGTTTTATCTTTTAGATTTCACTTGCCATTTTATTTGAGTTTTCAATTGGTATTAAGAGGGCTGTAGATTACCCCACTCCAACCTTATGGTCCATCCTCATCATCTTTGTTTTTGAGGCAAGGTTTCACTGTTGTTCCCCAGTCTGGAATGCAAAGGTGCAATCTTGGCTCACTGCAACCTCTATCTCCCGGATTCAAGCCATTCTCCTGCCTCAGCTTCCCAAGTAGCTGGGATTACAGGCACCCACCATCACGCCTAGCTAATTTTATAGTTTTAGTAGAGACAGGGTTTCACCATGTTGGTCAGGCTGGTCTTGAACTCCTGACCTCAGTTGATCCACCCACCCTGGCCTCCCAAAGCGCTGAAATTACAGGTACCAGGCTGGTCCATCTTCAATATCTTGATGTTATGCCAGCCTTGTAAAACATACTGACAAATTAGTTGTCTAATCCAGGCTTCACACATACTGTTTTTCCAACTGATTCTCATCCACTTGCCATTTCCTTAAGGAAGCTCAACTGCATCTTGGCCAGGCGCGGTGGCTCAAGCCTGTAATCCCAGTACTTTGGGAGGCCGAGGCGGGTGGATCACGAGGTCAAGAGATCGAGACCATCCTGGTCAACATGGTGAAACCCCGTCTCTACTAAAAAAAAAATACAAAAAATTAGCTGGGCACGGTGGTGAGTGCCTGTAATCCCAGCTACTCAGGAGGCTGAGGCAGGAGAATTGCCTGAACCCAGGAGGCGGAGGTTGCGGATCGCGCCATTGCACTCCAGCCTGGGTAACATGAGTGAAACTCCGTCTCAAAAAAAAAAAAAAAGGAAGCTCAACTGCATCTCATTAAATCAACTTCAAAGAACTTGTTCTAACTGGCCAGGCTTGATTAACTCCCTGACCCCTTCTCCAAGGCAATTTCATTGACTTTTTTTTTTTTTTTTTTTTGAGACAGCGCCTCACTCTGTCACCCAGGCTAGAGGGCAATGGTGCAATCTAGGCTCACTGCAACCTCTGCCTCTCAGATTCAAGCAATTCTTGTGCCTCAGCCTCTTGAAGACCTGGGACTACAGGTGTGTGCCATTATGCCCAGCTAATCTTTGTATTTTTAGTAGACACAGCGTTTTGCCATGTCAGCCAGGCTGGTCTCGAACTCCTGGCCTCAAGTGATCTGCCTACCTCGGCCTCCCAAAGTGCAGGATTACAGGCGTAAGCCATCACACCCAGCTGTTATACTTAATATTTGATACCTAACTAAAAATGAGACTCATCTTCCACAGGAAATTCCTACAAATTCTCCATCACTAGCATCACTTTCCAGACTAGAAGCTTAAAATACATCCCCGAATCACCCCCTACATGACCCCTAGGCAACTACTAATCTCCTTTCTCATTATACTTTGTAGTTTTGAAATTTTAACTAAATGAAAGCATAAAGTATGTATGTACCTGGCTTCTTTCACACATTGAGATTCATCCATTTTTTGTTCCCTTTTTATCGCTATAGTATTCCATTAAATGGTTCTACCATAATTTATCCACTCAGTTACCAATGGATATTTTGGCTGTTACAAATAAAGCTATGAAAAGTATGAACTAGTCTTCATGTGGACATAAGCTTTTGTTTCTCTTGGGTAAATACCCAGGGGTGGAATGGCTGAGTCATATAAAACGTGTGTGTAACCTTTAAGGAATCATTCAATTTCTCTACAGCAGTTGTTGCATTTAACATTGCTACCACCATTGCGGGGTTTCAGATGCTTCACATCCTTAACACTCAATATAGTTGTTTTCATTTTTCCAAATTAAAACAATTTTAATAGGTATATAGCAGTATCTGGTTGTCATTTAATTTGCACTTCCTTAATAACACTGAGCATGCACTTACTTGCCATCTCAGATATATCCTTTGATGAAGTGTGCAAATCTTTTCCCCACTTAAAAAATTAAGTCATCTAGTATTGAGTTGTAAGAGTTCTTTACAGATACAAATCCTTTGTTGGCTCCTTCTGCAAGTATGTTCCCCATCTGCTCTTGACTTTTCATTTGTCTTTCAAAAGGTTTTCAAAATCTATGAAGTTTACACTTTTTTGTGTGTCCTATTTGAGAACTCGTTGCCAAACCCAAAGCCACTAAGAACTTTCCTATATATATTTCTAGAAGTTTTATGGTTTTAGCAACTATGTTTTTTTTTTTTTTTTTTTTTTTTTAACCAAGAAAACTTTATTAGCTTTAGTCTCCACTCTTTTAAATGTGCTCTAGGTACAAAATAAACATTACATACGTATAAGATCAGTCTTTTCAACTTTAGAATGTATAAATAAGAATGACAATTTTTAAATAAAGTACTTTAGTCACAATCACACAAAACTACCTTCTAAGGAAATACCAGTGAGGTAGTTAAATTTGTGCTTTCAGCTCTGAAGAATTAAAATGAATTCATCCTTTCTGCTTTTAATGAAAAATAATACATACCCTTGGAAACAGCATAAACATTGTTATAGTAGTCTACCACCTAAATGAAAATGTGGACTGAGTTACGATTTACTATAATAACTTAAGAAGCCTTTGAAAATTAGCAATGGATCAAAGTATTTACATAAATTCAAGGCTTTTTCTTAGGATGAAAGGTAACACAGTTCCTTAACCTCTTTTAAAAGACACTTTGAAATTAAACCTTATGGTCACAACTAGTCAAGATTTTCATTCAAAAATGTTGCTTAAATATCAAATCTCACAGATGCTATGTCCATTTTCTTCATAATCCTACTACCACCATATCTTCAAAATCATCATTCTCTGATATCAATTTTCCACCTTCCCAGACATAACTAATAGGGTTTTCAGGCAGCACAACAGAAACATCATAATCTGTTGGAGTAAGATATCAAACTTCTGAGTAAACCTGATCCCTAAATCCTCGGAAAAGGGAGTTTCCTCCTGTCAAGACAATGTTCTTAAAAAAAAATTCAGCTACATTTCTTCAGGTAGATTCTGAATTGAATAGACAATACCTTCTGGAATTCCCATTTCTTGAAAGCCTATAACAGAAGGATTAAAGAGTATTTCTGGAACAGCAAATCTCTCATTGGCCAGACGAAGAATTTGTTCCCCAAATTTATATTTTCCACTCAACACCATCTCTTCCCTTGGCTTAGAGAAGCCCTTTTTAATTGTACTGAAGTCAGGCAAGACATAGTCTATCATTACTGTTATTTTCTTCTCTTTTCAACTTTGCAATATCCATGTCTCTATCAAAAATCCTGAGACACATAGTATACATCGTCTTTCATTCGATTAATCACACGTGTTTCATCCATGCCATGTAGCTGCCGAATAACTGCTTCTTTTTTCCTTTTGCTTCTACAATAAGGAACTATATGTATAAAGGAATATCCACTATCAACAATGACACAGCACAATTCATAAGGATTACCTCGGAAATATCTATGTGTACTGAGAGCCCCAGCATTTTCTTTTAATACTGCTTGCAACTGGTATTCTTCAAATAGAATTTCATTTATTGATTCTTGAAGTATGGTTCAGTGATAATAATATTAGTATCTAAAAAATCAACTCTACTTTGTTACCCGATACATTTCTTTTCCAAAAAGGTAATCCCAAACTTGTCTTTGAACATTCCAATTCACCAAGAAGCCCTTTTGAAAAGGAAGGATGTAGAAGAGTCCAGAAGGGTCTTTTATTTCATCTGTCTGGTTCGCAGTCAAAGTGTTAAGGCGTACTGATTTTGACCGGATCTGACAATTAGGAATGACCGAAACATTTTCATGGCTGTAACCAATTTTGGTGTTGTAAGCTCCGTTATCCAGCACTAAGGTCGTCATCTCAGCACCAAGCACACCGCAGCTGCCACTGTTTTCCCTTTCCGACCCCTCTGCTCCTACATTAGTTTTTAAATTCCCTCCAATTCCCTCTCCCTTTGCTCCTCACCATCAAATCCTGGCATGTTACAGAAATACTATTTGCCAAGTCATCCTATTTTACTTACCTGTTTTCTTTCTTAAGCATTCCAAAGGCCTCTCAGCTGATTCTCCTTTTGCCCCAATCCAGAATATTCTTCAATTCCTATTTTAAGATTAAGTTACCTATTTTTTAATTCTATCTTTAGGCTAGTGACCCACACTTGAAACATACAGAGCCACACTAACGTTAATTGCCACTAGCTTCCTGTAGTGACTTAAAGTTCTGTAATTTTCAGGAATATGTTTTTTTTTTTCCATTGAACTTTTACCCATTCTCCACTTTGTTTCTCTAGGATTATCACCATCACCCATCATTTTAAGCTGCCAAGAAGAGTGTGATCCTGCCAGCCAGCTGAGCCTCACGCTGGCTAATCACATTCACTTGAAAAGCTTTTGGAAAACAGATTCATGCTCCATTCCAAAAACTACTTGTTATTACCAACAGTGCCTACAGTGAGCTTGAGGTACAACCAAGTTTGGGAGTTAAAGCCTCAGCTAACTCAGTCTAAATACTGTTAAGTTCATTTTCTCCTTGTTTCCTCCAAGGTAGTTAGCAATTGAATAGAAAGAGAACAACATAAAAGCATAGAAATAGACAAATTTTCTACACAGACTCCTTATATTTTTCTAAGTTGTACACAATGTTCAATAGGAGTTTAAAGTTTATTTAGTCATATGCATAAGTCATGTCTGACAACTGAGAAAATCCTATTTACATAAAGCATTGTAGATTAAAAATACATAGTATTTGTACTTTAATACAATAGGGTCCCAGGATTCAAACAAGGAAGCTTGATTTCAGAGTTGGCATTAGGTAGTTACGTACTCTGCTACAAAGAACTAGTGGAGGTAAACTTTGGCAGTAAAATTCTCAACAGTCAAATATTAATGCATTTCATATACATGGCTTTGCATCTGTAGAGGAAGATACAATTTCTTCAGCACAAGTGCCAATTTCTGAGTCTTCCACTTCAGAATCCTCACCAGTTTCTTCTTCAGAATCAAATTCCTGACTATCCAGTGATTCCAAGTTATCCAGAGGTTCACCATTTAGTCTCTTTTAAAGAATAAACCAATATAATTTATTGTAAGAATGTTAAAACCTAAGTTGATCAGCATACTGATATAGCTGTAATGAGATTTTTTTCATCTTGCCCCTCAATAAATTCACTTATAAACAGCGTTATATCAAAGTCTCTACCATGCTAGATCACAGTCAGCAAAGTCAAAGTGTTTAATAATTTGCCTTTTTTTTTTAAAGCACTGAAATGATTTCAGAGTATAATTTAAAATAGTTATTTCCCCAAGCAGCTGCAGGGACAACTAGGTGTTCTACATTTCCAGTCAGCTGTAGACCAATACTTTTAAGGCAGTTAAGAGAGCTACTACACTATTTCCAAATGAAAATTTCAAACATGAATTCTATCATGGATCTCAAATGTAAGGTAACAATTCAGCTACGTGAAAAGTTTTGATTCAAATACTTTCTTCCTATCAGCAAGACCAACTTTTTGCAAACATGAATAAATAAACCTTAAAACCTTTTCAAGGGCAAGTCTGGTAAAACAATACTCATCAGGCTAATTCTTACAAACACATTAGCCTCTTACAAAATTCTTTAGTCAGATAAAACCTCCAAACTTATTTAGCAGACAAATTAGCAATTTTATAAATGACAGTCATGTCAAGCTGGCATTAAAACTACCTAAAAATGTGTCAACTATTAAATAATTTTCTATATTTTCCAGGCGTAAGTTAATTGCTTTTACTAAACTTTTATTCTCTGCAAGTACTCCTTGCAACTGTCCATCTATTATAGCTCATTTAATTCTCATAATAGGCCTATAAAGTAGTCACCATTACTCTCACTTTATAGATGAGGAAAATGAAGCCCTGACAGGATAAACCCATTCTACCCAGCAAACTTAATGGTGCCAGGGAGAAAATTAAGTCTCAAATCCAGGAAATCTGATTCCAGAGCCCAAACCCTTCAAAGTGGTCACACTTTACTATCTCAGCTTTACGGAAAAACACGTAAATGTGAACCAGGTAACTGTTACATTACCTACCTCTATTAGCTCTGCCATATACTGTACATGTTCTGCTACTTCTGCCAACTCTTTATTCTCCTTTTTCAGGCGGGCGATTTCATTGTCCTTTTGTTCAATTTCTTTATGAAGCTATATTACATAAATAAAGTTCAGTATTCTATAGATTTGCTATGCTATAAATCAAATTGCAGGCCTACAAGTATATAAGGTGGAGGAGATGCAGCATAGATCTGACTCTCAACAGGATTCAATTTGTATGATAATTCCATCAGGAGCTGCCTTTTTACTTAAACTTTTCTTAAGCCAGTATTACAGCTAGTTCTTGTTGCTCTAATATGCTAAGCAGCAAGAGTAAAACAATCCTGGAACTTAAAAAAAGATACGAATTATACTCAATACATACTTTTTCATTTTCCTTAAGTGCTTCATACAGCGCCTTCCTCCGTTTTTCTGCCACTTCTTTCCAATATTGAGAAGATGGATTTTCTAAAATAATGTTTTACATATAACTTTAAAAAAACATTACTGTCAAAACCCAGTAATTTCTCCTGTTTCAAAAAAATTTCTAATCTTAGTACCCCCCATATTGTTTAGTAATATTCATTTTCAAAAGATTAAGGTTAGAAAATAAAATCAATATTATTGTATTTTCCCCAACATTTCAAAGATTTCAATCCTTCAGAAGAATTACAACAGAAGTACAATACATATATATCTTCCAAGTAGATTATTAAAAATTTTTGCAACACATTTTTTGTGAGGTTGTGTCTTTATTTAATATTGACGTTTTTACAAAGTACAGATCAATTTTGTACACTGTCCTTAATTTTTTATTTGTCTCCATGATCAGATTCAAACTAAACATTTTTGGCAGGAATATCATATAAGTATGTTGTATCCTCAGTGTACCATCAAGAAGCACACGCCAACTTGTCATGATACTGGAGATGTTAAATTTGATCATTTGGTTAAGATGCTATCCACCAGCTTTCTGCCTTATAAAGATAACTTTTTCCCTTAGTAATTAACTAATGATCTGTAGAGTAAAATATCTGAGACCGTGTCAATATCCTGTCGTCCAACAACTTTTTACTTTTTAATTTAAGTTTCATTCCACTGATGATTGACATTTCTGGCTTGTATCTATTACTTCTACGGTGGATGGAAAACCAATTTTTCACTTATGAAATTCCTTCTACATGTACTAGTTAGCATTATTCTGTAAATAAAAACTTTTCCTGCCCCAATTTAAAAGAAAATTTATCAGTATGGACTCATCTGTCCTTTTTTCCTCAATGTATTATAATCCATTCTTGTCATTATTCATTTTGATGCTCAAATTTTTTCAACTGCAGTCCATGAGAATCCTTCCAAGATGATGTGTGTTCTTTCAACATGTCCATCCATTTTTGAGTACTTTCTTATTTTCTGTCACAATATAATCCATGATCACCTAAAGTTTCCCTGCCCCTGACCTGGAATCAGCAATTTCTCCAAGGAACTTTAGTGAAGATTAGTGTTTACAAACCAAGAACTGGATACAGGGTATGCTCCTTGCTACAGAAGTGTAGTTTGTTGCTACTTATTTAGGGGCAGTGCTAGGAAATGTAATGCTCTGTAAAAAAAAATCAGTTTATACTGATATCCCCAATTCCAATGTAACAACATAATTCTTCCTTTCCTTCTCCCATTCCATATTTGTACCTCCATTTACCACATTATGGACCTGGCTCCCAACAGCACCAACGTGTTATTCACTTGTTCAATCCTAAAATGTAACTTTTTTTTTTTTTTCCCTTCCAAAATTACACCAATACCATTGCCAAGGAACATAATAAAGTTCAAACAACAAATGTGACAAAGTTCAGGATTTCTTTGCAGTTCTTTCAATTCTTAACATATATCCCACTGAGGGTTACAGGGATTATTGTTTTTCACCTGTGGTTATATTAGCAATATGATATATCATTATTTGTTCTGATATTTAACTTTAGCAGTTTATTTTAACCAATCGGCGATTTAATTTTAACCTAATCAAGATATGAGTATCACAAATCCTCTCTTTAATCTACAGAGTTTTTGTTTTTCTTTTTGAAATAGAGTCTCACTCTGTTGCCAGGTGCCAGGCTGGAGTGCAGTGGTCAATCTCGGCTCACTGCAACCTCTGCCTCTCAGGTTCAGGCAATTCTCCTGCCTCAGCCTACCGAGTAGCTGGGACTACACGCGTGCACCACCACGCCCAGCTAATTTGGGTATTTTTTTAGTAGAGACGGGGCTTTACCATGTTGGCCAAGATGGTCTCAATCTCCTGACCTCGTGATCCACCTGCCTCAGCCTCCCAAAGTGCTCAGATTACAGGCATGAGCCACTTTTCCAGCCTATTCATCCATATTTTTATTGGTTTCTTAATGTCACACACTCGAATATTCAAATTCCTTTCATACCTCAAACTCATTCTCTAAACATTTTTCTTCTAAAAAGCCTATTTCCAAGTCTTATAAACCCCTTACAAGGCAATCCAATATCAGAGCTGTCATATTAATAACTATCCTTTCCCCCCAACTTTTTTTTTTTCTTCAGAGAATGGATCTTGACCTGTCACCCAGGCTGGAATGCAGTGTCGCTACAATAGCTCAATGTGGCAGCAAACTCCTAGGCTCACATGATGCTCCTGACTCAGCCTTCTGAGTAGCTAAGAATACAAGCACAAACCACCATGCTCAGCTAATTTTTTCACAGACAGCATCTCACTGTATTGTCCAGGCTAGCCTCAAACTTCTAGACTCAGGCCAACTTCCTGCCTCAGCCTCACAGCGTGCTGGGATTACAAGCATGAGTCACTATACCGGGCCTCCTTTTCCTTAACATTTCGTCCCCACATAGATCTTGTCAAACAAACCGTCACACACAAAAACATTTACAGTGTCATTGTATTTACAATAATAAAAGTTCTAAATCATTGAAAACATACAAGTATGTTTATATCTAACAGTATCCCTAGATTAAGGTAATCAGCAGAATTCATAACAGTATTAACAAATTCTTCCTTATATCATAATTTAAAAGCTTAAGACAAAAGTTATCTATTTTTTCATACCTTTAATCATAAGATCAAATGACTCCTGGGTGATTCCTCCAAGACTTTTATTTTCACTAGATTCTGGGACAATAACCCCAGGGCTGGAAGTTGCAGATGTTAACTGATCATTCCGATGTTTCCTTTTGGACAAGCCTGTGGACAACTATAATGAAAACACTTAACTGTATTTACTTTGATTTAATTAACAAGAAACTAGGTGGTTTTTCATTTATGTATTTAAAAAAGAAAATGCGTATCTTATCTTTTTGGTATCTCTGAATCTTTAAAAAAGTTATACAATTAAAAATTCTACCAAAATGCATACTAACATTTTAGGAATTTTATTTGCAACAACTATTTTGGATTAGACTATGGTCTACAGCTTAGCTGAAATTATTTATTATTTTTTTTTAAATTTTTTAATTTTTATTTTTGTTGAGACAGAGTCTCTGTCACCCAGGCTGGAGTACAGTGGTGCAATCTCAGCTCACTGCAACATCCACCTCCCAGATGTAAGTGATTCTCCTGCCTCAGCCTCCCTAGTAGCTGAGATTACAGGTTTGTGCCACCATGCCCAGCTAATTTTTTTGTACCTAGTAGACACGGGGTTTCACCATGTTGGCCAGACTGGTCTTGAATTCCTGGCCTCAGGTGATCCGCTGACTTCAGACTCCCAAAGTGTTGAAATTAACAGCTGTGAGCCACCATGCCCAGCCATGAAATTATTACTATTATTATTTTGAGACAGGGTCTCACTTTGTCACACAGGCTGTTGCTCAGTGGTGCAAACATGGCTCATTGCAGCCTCGACCTCCTAGGCTAAAGCAATTCTCCCGCCTCAGACCCCCAAGTAGCTGGGACTATAGGCGTGTGCCACCACGCCTGCCTGATTTTTGTATTTTTTATAATATGGGGTTTTGCCATGTCGCCCAGACTGGTCTCAAACTCCTGAGCTCAAGCGATCCAACCACCTCGATCTCCCAAAGTGCTGGGATTATAGGCATAAGCCACCATGCCTAGCCTAAAGTTATTTTTATTGTGTTTAAACATTGTATTTAAATTCAGTACCACAGAAAGGTAATATTTTCATTCTGCCAAAGTCTAAAAATGCTTATCCATGATGGCATTGTTTACACACATGGGTAAAGAATCTAATACTTTATTCTAAAAGTATCAAACATTACTTCTATAGGAGCATTCATAATTTACTCCATCATTCCAGTACTACAGGTATTCATTGCAATTTTAATTTTTTTTTTTTTTTTTTTTTGAGACAGAGTCTTGCTTTGTTGCCCAGGCTGCAGGCTGGAGTGCAGTGGCGCAATCTCTGCTTACTGCAACCTCTGCCTCCTGGGTTCAAGTGATTCTCCTGTCTCAGCCTCCCAAGTAGCTGGGATTACAAGCACACACCACCATGCCCAGCTAATTTTGTATTTTTAGTTGAGGCAGGGTTTCACCATGTTTGCCAGGCTGGTCTCAAACTTCTGACCTCACGTGATCTGCCCACCTCAGCCTCCCAGAGTGTTTGGATTACAGGCATGAGCCACCATGCACGGTGAACTTCTTAAATTGAACAATTTTTTAAAAAATCACTTATTTGGGGAACATATATAATTGTTATTCCCAAATTATTTCCAAATTTCAACAGTTTACGTGTTTTTGACCAACAAAATGCAGAAATGTTTTTATGCAGACATTGTATCACCAGTACCCCATTTTAGCCATATAGCACATACCTCATTTTCTCTTCCAACAAGAGATCCAGATGCTGAAGGCTGAATCATCTTCAGAGTCCTTCTCGGGACAGAACTATTCTGAAAGTTAAGATAATTCATCATCTGGTTACTGAGTTGCATATGGTTATTTATTTACTGCACTGCTATATGGTTACGTAGGTTACTGAGTTTTTATATAGTTACTCTTAATCCTTCTGTAATTTGGGGTGGGGAAGAAACAATAAGAACACAAACATCTGGTCTGCTATATAATTTTATAAGGTTACCTATGAACAAGACACTGGTTTAGTCAACTGGCAAACTTGTTATTTCCAAAAATTATAATAAAGTTTGAAGAATCCTTAAGAATGAATCATACTACCGGGCGCGGTGGCTCACGCCTGTAATCCCAGCACTTTGGGAGGCTGAGGCGGGTGGATCACAAGGTCAAGAGATCGAGACCATCCTGATCAACATGGTGAAACCCCGTCTCTACTAAAACTACAAAAAATTAGCTGGGCATGGTGGCGCGTGCCTGTAATCCCAGCTACTCGGGAGGCTGAGGCAGGAGAATTGCCTGAACCCAGGAGGCGGAGGTTGTGGTGAGCCGAGATCGCGCCATTGCACTCCAGCCTGGGTAACAAGAGCGAAACTCTGTCTCAAAAAAAAAAAAAAAAAAAAAAAAAAAAA